CAAATGTTTTCTCTTGGGCCAGCGGCAGACCAATAAATGCACAAAATGCTAGAAAGCGATGCAACTGAGTCTGACAGGAGTCATAAGAGGGCAAAATAAGCAAAAAATCATCAAGTAAATGTAAAATATAGTCGATATCGAGTTTGTGTTGAGCAATCCATTGAAGCGCAGTACTAAAAACTTCAAAGGTTTTGCAAGAACTGGCAGCACCCATAGGCAAGCAGCGATCGAAATAATACCGTCCGCGCCATTTCATGCCTAACAGATAATGGTCGGAGGGTCGAATTGGTATAGTGCGAAAAGCGTTCTTCACGTCGGTTTTTGCAAGAAAACATCCAGGTCCCGCGAGTTTAATTAAACGAATAGCATCTGCAACTGTGGCATAGTGCACGCTAGTGTTTTCGGTAGCTATGCCATCGTTGACAGAAGAACCGCGCGGGAAGGACAAATGGTGAATCAAACGAAATTCGCCTATGGTCTTTTTTGGGACTAGACCTAACGGAGAAACCCTAAATGGGTGAAATGGCGCGGCAGTAAAAGGCCCCGAAAGCCTGAGAGCTGACAGTTCTTTAGCAAGTTTTTTATCAACCACGGTTGGATTAGCTAAAGCCGAAGGCAGATTTTTGCCTTCTTGGGTATTAACAACACCAGAAAAATGTAACGCAAAACCATGAGTAAAACCAGAAACGAGCGTAGAAATTATGTTTGCAAAATAGCCGTTTAAATATGGCTCAAGCCGATTTAGGTTGATGGGCGTTGGGAGCAGCACCTGACTTGGCAGAATTACGGGTTGTTCTGGGAAAATCTCGCCTGAGTTGGCCACGAAAATTACACTTAAGGCCAGGGTGTAGGCCGTCACACTTAAAACAGGAATGTTTAAATTCACACCCAGAACAAGCCTCTCCTTTGTGAAACTTGAAGCAGTAGCCTCGAGGAATTGAATTTTGCGGCCCCTTACCAGAAAGGGTAGACGGGGCACGTTGCATTGTACTGGGTGATTTTTGCGAAGTATGCTGCGATCGCAGCCACAATTCCCAATGAACATTGGCCCAAGACAACAAACTCCGCTGGGTTTGACGCAAAAAGCGAAAGTTTTCATCATAGAACCGCCAATTTTGATCCCGATCTGCCAAGTCCTGTACTATATCCCCGTATTTCATGAGTGCGGGGGACTCATGAGGATACTTTTGAGCATAAACCCCTACAAAAATGCGAAACGCACTCATCCAAACAGAAATATTTGTTATTTTCTTGGCTTTACTTATCGGCTCTACAGAAAGAGATGGTGGTAAACCGGCGTCAGAAGAGCTAAAGCTCAATTGGAATTTGTTATCTGACGTTGGATTGCTCAACAAAGACCCGAAATCGATGTATTCATCGTTCCAAATTTTATTTTTAAGTTTAATGGAAATCCGACAGTCTATAGGTAAACTAATAGAGTGATATTCCTGCGTTGGTTGAACATGGCTAGAAGTAGGCGCCAAAAACGTCTCACCTGAAATTGTGGCGTGGGCCGAACCAAGAGCGTTGGAAACAGCAAGTTGCGCCACAGCCGTCGGAGGAGTCGCAACATGCTCTGAGATGCGGACAACAGGCGATTCCGTAACTGAGGCAGCTCCCGAAGGAGAACTCGATGGGACTGCGTGGACACCAGGCACTGGAGTTGTTACAGGTTGCAGGCGTCGAGTCACTTCGGCGGTTACGGAGCTGACGATCTCTTGGAGCTGTTGGGGCGTGATAGCCGAGGCTGGAGCAAGAGGAGCAGCTGTTGCTGGCCGAGGAGAACTGGACGAAGGAACCGTCGTGGTTGTTCCTGAGGCACGGGGCGCTCGAGCGCGATGGGAACGGCGTGCTGGTGGTACGGCTACCGATACTGGTCGCTGAGCACGTTGATTTCGAGTGGCGGCCATGGTAAAATTCCTGAAAAACACACTCAGAAACGTAGTGGGAGAATACTAAAAGCTTATGAAGTATAAAATCTAACAAGATAAAATAAAACTAAATATATAGGCTGGGTCGAGCATGGCACACAACGAAGTGGCCGCACCACTCGCCCAATAAAACGCCACTAAGAAATAATGAGGACGTAGCCTCAGATTAACACGTGTGAGGACGTAGCCATCACAAATAAGCGAGAATAAAATCTCACAAGGATTATAAAGTATGGAGTACTTCTCCAAATAAAACATATTCTGTGTGGACGTAGCCAACACCAGAATCAAAGTGTGAGGGCGTAGCCTCGTGCAAGAAAAAATCTAAATAGAATTAAACAGTATCTGGTGACATAAAAGTATAAAAGACATACAACCAAAGATAACAGACTAACAACTAGGAAGGCTTGCTAAAGCTTTAAGAATAGCACCGCAATAACTGCGATACAGCGTGTATTGCGCTCTACGATTGAAATGAACACCGTCTGTTACGCGCTGTAAGAATCCCTTATGACTCCAGCAAAAAACGTTGGGAACACCTTCCAGAACGACCTCTAAATATTGGTTCAAAATAAACGCCTGCCTGTTGAACTCCGGGGAAGCTGCCCGATGTGTAATTAGGCAAACCCCTACTATCTGAACATAAGGGAGCTGAAGTAAAAGATGAACGAGGTCATCGATTTTGGAACCCACTACTTTGGGTTTGCTATGGCTAAGGTCATTAGTACCCACTTCCAGAATTACAATGGCAGGCCGAAATGAACGAACTTTATCTAAATCGAACGCGATCAACTTGTCTACTGTGCGTCCCCCAATTCCATGCAATTTGACGGAGGCCCTTTTTATATTAAAACTAATGGCCGCACGGACGTCGAAATTAGAGCGGAAATCGCGATGGAGACGTTTGACAAACGAGTGTCCAAAAACAAGAACTTTTGGGCGTGACAATTCCATAATACCGAAATTAAAAGTATCAAAATATAAGAATAATATAAGAATAAGAATAATTGAAAATCTCACCTGTATAAAGGTAAAAGAAAGAAGTCCAAAACGTCAAAGAAAATTCGTATGTCTTCACTCGATCACGAGAAAGGTTGAATTGAGAAGTGAATAACTTTGCTTTGCTTTTAGTAGCTAAAATTTGGCCGTGACTTAATGTTTCTTACGTAGGTAAAAGCACCGGAATTTCCTTCTCCGCCAAGTCCCACCTTAATCTGCCACAATCCAATCTAACTATTTCCTACTTTTATCTTATCACTATAATTCAGGCTTGACATAAAAAACCATATTTCCGTAGGAAATATTTTTATTTATGTTACTTACGAACATTTCCTGGTTTAGATATTGATGAATGCGCTATGGGAAGCGACAATTGTCATGATAATGCGAATTGTACAAATAAAAACAGTTCCTACACGTGTCAATGTAAGGAAGGTTTCACTGGAAATGGCGTAGATTGTGAAGGTAGGAGAGAAAACTGATTTTTTTTTCAATATTCATTCTGAAGATGTACGAAATATGTACATCTTTAAAACGTTTTATAGAACTTCAGATGAACCATTTAATTGCAGGGCCTTTATCTTTGTCAGATTTTTTCCTCTCCCTTTTCAAGTTTCAAACGGACTATATTTTAATTTAACCTTCTTCAATTTAGTGGAAACATTATTTTTAAGCAAAGGTATTAGCACGTCGTTTTCCGGTCATCGGATCACGACAAAGCCTTTCTCATATAAATGAGTTTTAGTGTGCAATGTGATTATATATGCATATGATTATCCACTTCATGCCGACGGTCTTCTGAAAGAATAATTTTCATTCTAGGATGTGCTGCTCTCTTGTTGTCAGAATCACGTGAAGTTAATATACTTCTGCGTGGATCTCCACAGTTGAATTATTCTGAGAATCAATTTATTTTTAAACATGTTCAACTGTATATAAAACTAACTAAACGTTTCTCTTAGTCTAAGTTATAAGTTATAAGTCAGTCTGAAACCCGTCTATCTCTGCAAAATTTATTTTATTCTTTTTTGTTGTGTGTTACATCTGTTGGTTAATATTGTATAGAGTGTGTAACAAAAATCATGTAAATGTTGTATGAGCCCCATAGATGAGCCTTTGTGCTCTTGGGAAAATGCAAAAAAAATCTATTAAAATATGTTTATATAAAGAAAAGTGCTGCTCAATGAAATATAATATCAATGGTAATAACGGTATGGCCAGTTTCCCGAGTTGAAATCAATTTTCTTCAAATATTGAAACTTGTAGAAAATATGATTATTTTCACACGTGCATGGCAATCAGATAAATTTCGATTGCCACCCCATAAAATACCCAACACGTTATTTTGTACACTGTGCATGCATAATTAGCAGCTTAGAATCTGTTACCAAAAGTTCCAATATTTTACTGTACTTTGCAAAACATTCATCGACATCCTTTTCCCTCCATTTTCTGTTGTTTTTCTAACTGCATGCCTGGGTCAGAGTAATGGTATAACTCGCATGCTATTTTCACATTTGAGAATTTAATTGATATTCCATGGAGTGGCTAACGAAGTTAAAATGGCCGATAAGGGTGAAAAATATCCAAGAAATTGGTTACTCGTTTTTTATTTTTTTTATTACGACCTCCCTCTCGAAAAATCCGGCGATAGAGCACTATTGATATTGTCTCTAATGATTTATGAAATATATGTTATATTAATTTTAGATATTGACGAATGCGCTGCTGGATCTCATAATTGCCATGCTGATGCGAACTGTACTAATACAACTGCCTCTTTTACCTGTGTGTGTCTTGAAGGTTTCAGCGGCGATGGCGTAAATTGCCAAAGTATGAGAAATATCTTTTTTAACTATAATCTTTCTATGAAATGGAATTTTAGTGCATGTATACCTTTCGCTGTAGAGCGCTTTTAATCAGACTAAACTTTTTCAGTATTTCTTTATTACATCGGTAAAGAATGATTGACTGGGGGAATAGGTATGAAGATGTTTTATCCATCATGCAGAGACTACTTCTTACTTTGAATTGCTGTAAAATCACTTTATAGCAATTTGTAATGTAGGTGGTATATAACAGACAATTTGATTAGTTAATACGTGTGCACTGTGACGTAATAATGCACTGCTCCGTGTCACTGCCTGGCTCTTTCTGTGTTTCCCCCCGCTTCATCCCTGCTTTTTAACCAAAAATATAAACAAACCTATAGAGCTTTTGAAATGCGAAATTTATCAGAAAGCTGGAAGGAAATTACTAAAGGAACAAAGCAATTTTATCTACAAATAGTTCTAAGCGTAAAAACAGTAAAATTGACCGACTTGGTATTCGTCAATATTTTCGACAAGTTTCGGGCAATTAAGAGCGTGCAAAATAGCCGAGGACAAACTTCAAAAAGACACAAGAATACAAAAAAAAGAAAGTACCTTTAATGCCTACCCCACGACTTGACATCTTTCTTGGCAAATTTTATATTGATTCACTCCTTTGCTCGCTTAAAGTTAAAGTGTCAGTAAAAGGCTAAAAACATGCGCGTGACGTCACTGAGTACACGTTATTCATATTTGTGAATTATAATGTTTCACGTTAGATATTTATGCAAATGAAAGCAATTAGTTATTGTCAAAATTGATTTCTTTACGAAGTAAATACTTGAACTGAGACATTTTCCCAATTCTGGACTTGGTTGATAGAAGACTAGCTGCTAGCCTACGGTGTAGACCCCAGCAGAAGCACGTTTCGTGAGGAGTCTACGAATAAACGAAAAAAAGCTTGCCCGGCCTACGTCATATCCGATTTACGTTTTGGGTAAATTAACTTCAATTTATTCAAATTTCTGAAGCGTGCGTGAATGTAAATTTTCATTTGGCGCTTATTAAAATGTTCCACGGCGGACTCTATGCAAGACAAATGTGTTCTTTGCTTCAAAGTCCCGTCGAATAAAAGCCATATTAATTTCTTGGATAGCAAGGACACTGTACGTAAGGAGTTAGACGACCTTTCCTTCTCCACTTCACCTACAAATAGCATTTGTAAAGCATGCCTGGCCGCCTGGCGTTAGGAAACAAACGGTGAAACGAAGAAGCTTCAAAGAACGGTTTAATATGTGAACTAGACTAGAGCCTAGACAATACAATAACGAACGCGCACAAAACAGCATTATAAACGCTATTCGTATACCGCTTAAAGTACAGCGAAACGTCGTGAGGAAACTGGGATATTTCGAGCGACTCTTCGACTTCAGAAATTGGATGTCTTGACAAGCTTCAAGCCTTCAACAGCCTAACCGTTTGTACGAATGACAATAACTTTTTAGTCCGTTCGCACATGTGTTTAATGGTTGGGTATATATATATATATATATATATATATATATATATATATATATATATATATATATATATATATATATATATATATATATATATATATATTATAAATATATATATATTATAAATATATATATATATATATATATATATATATATATATATATATATATATATATATATATATATATATAATATATTTTCCTCTAAACATAAATTACATCGTTTTGATCCTCCCGTATACGAAATAGCGCGTTTCAAAATTTGCCAATTGATATTAAAATCTTTCTTGCTATCTTTCAATGTCCAAATATATTTCGAAAGTTCAGTTTTGCTTGAGTGCTCTTTATGTTCGAAAGTATAGTTATGGTTAGCCAAAAGCTCTTTAAATGTAGTTGATGTCATGCCAATATAATTCATGATCGTGTTAGGGTTGCTTGTTGTGACTGTTGCTTTGTATACTATGTCCTTAGTCATGCATTGTTTCTGAAGTGGGCATATTGCGTTTTCCGAACAACTGCAATTGACAGTGCTCTTTCCCTGTGCCTTGTTCTTCCTAGCTATATGTGCATTGTGCTTGGTGATTATAGACTTAACATTGCTCATGCAGCTATAACTTACTTTTACTGTATTTCTATTAAAGATCTTATGCAGCTTCTGATGCGAAGGAAAGTGCTTGTCGATAAGGTTAAGAAAATTACGCCCTATATTAGTGCTGACATTCATGCTAAACTAGAAATACATGCATGCAATAACCCCTCGCCTGTTTTCAAAAGATATATACTCAGTGCCGTTGCGAGCACTTCGTCGCAGGGTGTGTGTGTGGTTAGATAGAGGGGGGGGTTACCAAAAAGTTTCCAGATGTACACAAATTTTTGAGTACATATAATAATTTTTCCGAAAATACAGTTGCTTTCCAAATTCACTTTCTCAGTCATGTCCTGAGAATTACCTGAATTCTCCTGAAAATCTTCTGCAAATCTACTTAATTAAATGTACGTACTAAAAGTGCACTGGAAATCTACCTGAAATTCATCATAAGCAATAATCAGGGGTGTTGCCCCCCCCCCCCAGTGAGTTCCAAGCAAACACTCTCTGATTTATTGTTCGTGTATTTCGATCACCTCCCAAAATATTGTGCATCATACTATAGAGCATTTTGCTGTTGTCATGCTCTAGCATGGTTCAAATTTATGAATTTTTATTATATAAAGTATAGTGTTTTACAGAGTTTTCGAGCACTGACAAAAATGATAATCTCAGATGTGAAATTATTCATGATAATCTCACATGTAAAAATTTATCGCCTTTTCAATTATCGCTTTTCTGTAAACATTATCGCTTTTCATTTAAGACTGTCCTTTATATAATAAACAGAAAAATACATGGGTGGTTGGAAATACCAGATTTATTTTTTGTGTTGAACATGACATCTCACTCGTTCGCTGCGCTCACTTGTTCGCTGCGCTCACTTGTTCGCTGCACACTCATGTTCAACACTCGAAATAAATCTGGTATTTCGTGCACCCATGTATTATTCTCTATTTAAACTACAGCTAGACTGGTTTAAATTATTATCAATTTATCAGTGATTGTAAAAGTTGGAGATAGAAGTGTTTTGTTTTATAAAATTATCAAGTTGTCGGTGATAGCAACACCTCCAAATCCTTAATTTCAAATGTTAGAATGTTAGGGTTAGAATGTTAGGGTTTGTAATATATACATTTTAAGACCTAACCAGGAACGACTGCGAAAAATGCAGCACAAGGTCCTCTGGTAGGAATTGAACCTACGGCCTGATTCCTGTGCAGCGCTCTAACCAACTGAGCTACAGCTCGGCCAGCTGTTGAGCTTTAACCATAAGTTCATGTATATTTAAGTAATCGGGTGTGCGGGTTATGATAAGGCGCATGGACTTCAATAATTTGGATTCTTGCACTTCACTTGGTGGACTTAATATTAGAATGTTAGGGTTTGTAATCCAAGTGAGAATATATACATTTTAAGACCTAACCAGGAACGACTGCGAAAAATGCAGCACAAGGTCCTCTGGTAGGAATTGAACCTACAGCCCTGCGATTCCGGTGCAGCGCTCTGACCAACTGAGCTACAGAGGCCAGCTGTTGAGCTTTAACCGTAAGTTCATGTATATTTAAGTAATCGGGTGTGCGGGTTATGATAAGGTGGACTTCAATAATTTGGATTCTTGCACTTCACTTGGTGGACTTAATATTAGAATGTTAGGGTTTGTAATCCAAGTGAGAATATATACATTTTAAGACCTAACCAGGAACGACTGCGAAAAATGCAGCACAAGGTCCTCTGGTAGGAATTGAACCTACTGCCCTGCGATTCCGGTGCAGCGCTCTAACCAACTGAGCTACAGAGGCCAGCTGTTGAGCTTTAACCATAAGTTCATGTATATTTAGGTAATCGGGTGTGCGGGTTATGATAAGGTGCACTTCAATAATTTGGATTCTTGCACTTCAATTGGTGGACTTAATATTAGAATGTTAGGGTTTGTAATCCAAGTGAGAATATATACATTTTAAGACCTAACCAGGAACGACTGCGAAAAATGCAGCACAAGGTCCTCTGGTAGGAATTGAACCTACGGCCCTGCGATTCCGGTGCAGCGCTCTAACCAACTGAGCTACAGAGGCCAGCTGTTGAGCTTTAACCATAAGTTCATGTATATTTACTAATAGGTAATCGGGTGTGCGGGTTATGATAAGGTGGACTTCAATAATTTGGATTCTTGCACTTCACTTGTTGGGATTAATATTTGAATGTTAGGGTTTGTAATCCAAGTGAGAATATATACATTTTAAGACCTAACAAGGAACGACTGCGAAAAATGCAGCACAAGGTCCTCTGGTAGGAATTGAACCTACGGCCCTGCGATTCCGGTGCAGCGCTCTAACCAACTGAGCTACAGAGGCCAGCTGTTGAGCTTTAACCGTAAGTTCATGTATATTTAGGTAATCGGGTGTGCGGGTTGTGATAAGGTGGACTTCAATAATTTGGATTCTTGCACTTCACTTGGTGGAATTAAAATTAGAATGTTAGGGTTTGTAATCCAAGTGAGAATATATACATTTGCATATTCTCACTTGGATTACAAACTATTCTCATTTGGATTACAAAATATATACACCAAATATATACATGTACTATACCGGTACATTTGTATATTCTCACTTGGATTACAAAATATTCTCACTTGGATTACAAAATATATACATGTATATATTCTCACTTGGATTACAAACCCTAACATTCTAATATTAATTCCACAAGTGAAGTGCAAGAATCCAAATTATTAATTTCAAATGCCCCGCCGGGGCTAAGGTTCGAGTGGAAATGCCCAACCCCCGGGATGTGCTTTACAGGAAAATGGCTGGGCGAGGGGGATGGGCACACTTGGATTTGGCTGATGCATTAAAAGTCCTGTGCTTATTCCAGACTGCTTGTCAAATATTTACTTGCTAGAAGTAGAAATTTACTCTGACCGCTGGATGAAGAAGACATTAAATAAGTACTGGTCAATAAACAGAAATGTATTTTATTTCATAGTATTACAATTTTATTTTTATACTATAAAAATAAAATATAAACATGCAGCATAGAATATGCAAATTCGAGGCAAAATTATTGTTGAATCGGTTTATTTATAGGATTTATAACAAATAGCAACTATAAAAGTTTGTA